CAATAACAAAATGGATAAGGTAAAGAAACTCTACTACAACCCCACTCATTACTTTTAGTTTGAGGTTAGTGTCTTTCTGCATTGCAAAATAGATAGATAGATAGATAGATAGATAGATAGATAGATAGATAGATAGATAGATAGATAGATAGACAAATAGATAGGAAAAGTGATTGAAGCCTTCTTAAGGATCTGAATCAAACCTCCCAATGCAATGTGAGTCACCATACCCCTTATTTCCATTCTACCCCCTTACCTAGTCCTTCTGTAACCCACAATGGTTTGGGGACTGTCATTCCAACATCATAGTGTTACCCCAAACCAGTTCTGTACCTCCCATTTTCAGCTGCCTTCCTATTGTCTTTTTATATTCAATTCCAACTTCAAATTATAATTCTCTGTTTTTATCATCCCTGCAAGCTATAGTGGTATTGTTTTATATTACACTTTGGAAAATCTCTTTTTTAAAAGAATTATTTGTTTATGCTTACAAGAACTGGGGTACAGGCCAGAGATGTGGTGGAAACTCTTTATACATGAAATTAGATTGTGTCTTGTTTCCATAGAATCTACCTTTAAGATGATATTTCCAGGCACATGTAATAAAACATAGAATCTAGCTGAAATACAAACAGTAAAGTATTTAGAGACATGTTTAAATTACTTTAAGGATTTTGAAGATTAAAATTATGCCCTGCAAAAGCCTATGCATTAGAGATAAATTAAGCATGTAGCTAAACTGCAAATACTCATAAAATGCAAATGCATCAGAACTTCAAAAGTATTATTTAAATCATATCATTATGGATTTTCACCATAAGTTGCTCACTCTCTATTCATAGCTCCTGGACTATAATTAGCCTTTTGACTTTTTACTTTGCCAAGCTGCCTGCTTTCAGTGTTTCTCTCCCAAGAAACTGAAGGAAGAAGCAGAGTCAACATTATTCTCAACTGCTTCCAAACTAATAAAATATATTTCTTATGACATGAAAGCTTAAGAAAAAAAATCTCCATTTGTTGCAGTTGTCTCATGGAGAAATATTTATCTTGCCTTGAAGTCAATACAGTTCTTGGAGTTTCTTCTACAGTTCTTCAGTTCTTGGAGGTCCTTTTCCACAAGTTAAATCTATATCAAGTCTAGTTCAATTGTAGAATCACCAGGCAGCAAGGACTTAAGTTTCCTGCCTTTTTGTGGGATAGCCTTGAGGCACTTAAACCCTGTTTCCTCTCTAAGGCAAAGGAAATCTCCCAAACCTTGGTCATCTTGCTGGACTTTAGTGTTGTTCTTTTTTAGATTCTGATTGGTTTAAATTACATTTTCTTACCCTCAACACTATCAACACGTTGGCCCAGAGAATTCCCTGCTGTGGGTGCTGCCCCCAGCATTGCAGCATTTTGCAACATTCCTGGCCTCTCTCCCCTAAATGCCATTAGTGTGGTACTTCTCCACCACAACCAAAAAATATCTACCAAAATTACCAAATGTCCCTAGGGTGCAAAATCACCCTTGATTGATACTGACTGGGAAAAATAGTGAAGAACAACATGAAATGCATGCCATTTCTTATCTAAATTTCTAAGAAATGCTAAATCCAACATATTATTTTTTTAATTCTGCACATTTCCTCCATTGTCAACCACTTCCATGTGCTTAGATTTGAAAGTCATTGCTATCAAAGCAAACACTGATTGATACTTAATTTTTTCTTCTATTTATTTTTCTTACAAGAAAAATTAAAGCAACAGATCATTTTTTTAAAAATTGAATTTTTAATTACATTGAGAGATCACTTTTATTTTAACATAAATTAAAAGAGATGATAAATCATTGGTCACTTAGTACAAGTGAAGATCCAAAATATAGCTGTCCCTTCACATAAACATTCTGGTGCAGTTGGTACAGAGAGAAAAATGAAAGGGTGGTAGTAATCTTCACTTTTTTAAATAGTTCGATCACATTTATTCTCTTATTGTTTCTATTATTCATATTATAGGTCAGATGTAATGATTCCCCAAAACACCAAGCGAGTAGGTAATAAGAAGCACCAAGTTAAATGCTTGTCTTGGGATCACTAGTTCCATGTTTCTCTTTCTCAGAAAAATTATTCAAATCAGAAAGAACAATTCCACCAAACTATTACATGAATATATTAATCACAGGATTTTCTCTTGGACATAAAGTACTTTTCATTTTTCTGACCCCAGAAATGAAGCAGGGAGATTAGTTGATTCAGTCTATGCACCACCATTTTTGTAAATTTTTTTGCTTATTTAATATTTGTGTGTGTCTATATATACATATATATATGTATGTATTTTACGTCATTGTAATGTAAGAATAAAGAGGAAGAGCTTGGAGAAAATAAAGACAATCATTAAAAATGGTTTTCTCTAAATCAGGAACCTGAAGCTGTCAAATTCATAGAGACAAAAAGTAAAATTGGTGTTTACCAGAGGCTAGGAGGGAGGGGACACTTGGGAGTTGTGCTTACCTGGGGGGGGGGGGGGGAGTTTGGGAAGAAGAAAAGGTTTGGAGGCAGGTGGCAGGGACACATCACAGCAACGCCTGTATGCTTAATGCCACTGAACTACACACATTATATGATTAAAATAGTTTTACAGAATGTACATTTTACCACAATAAAAATAAATAATGGTTTTCCTGGGACAGAAAAGGGTTATTCCAGGAGGGATCTAGGGATATTGGGAGTCTCCGATGTTTAAGAACTATGTGTTGGCATGCTGTATAGATAAATAAATAAGTCATAAGGAAGCTTCTCACTTGAAAGACACTGGCCCAGCATAACCCTCCATTACAGATGAAAACCAGTGCTAGCTTTCTTCTGTTTCACAAGCTCTATCACATTTCACTCAGAGACTGGAGATCACTTTACTGACTGCTGAGTTCTGAACAGGACTGTGCCAGGTTAGATGGAGAAATGGGTTCAAATTGTGTAATGTTTGTGCCAGGGCCCCAAGTTTCAACTCATGGTAAAAAATTTCAAATTGTCTCTTTGAACTTGCACTGCACTTTCATTAAGACCTAGGCAAAGAAGACTCAATGGCTAACTTGAAGCTTTGGCTTTTGGTTTTGAAGGAGCAGGAGCAGCAAATGGCTGACATTTTGGCCATCCGTGGAAGAGAAGAGGGTCAGCCTCCCCAGGACCTGAAGCCACTGTCCTCTGCCGAGGAGGGTGGTATCCAGGCTCTGCTCCTGCCTGCTGACGTGCCCTCAGGAGGAGAAGATGAGTGTGCCTCACCTGATGACATCTCCTTGCCTCCACTCCGGAAAGCCCAGAATCCCCTGTCCTACCATCGGACACGGAGGCAGAGGAAAGTCCCAGCTCCTCCCTCAGCCTACAGATAAGCAGCTCCAGGATGCTGAAGGGGGCCCAAGGGACAGGGGAGATCCAAGAACCTATGCTGCCGCCTCCACCTGCTGCTTTTGCTGATGCTTGCAATGATAAGAGAGAAACATTTTCAAGTCATTTTGAGAGGCCCTACACCCAGTTCAAAGCCGAACTCCCATTAACAGCCCAAGGATTTCTGGAAAAGAGTACTGTCTTCCACAAAATCAGTGCTAAACCTCCAGAGAGCATGCTGAGTGAAGTGCATGAGAGAGCTTTACAGCAGCGCCCTCAGACTCAGGGAAGTTTGCTAGAAACACGGGAGGAGATGCATGTTTATAATAATGCCACTAAAACCCGAGATAGCCTGCATGCTTCCCCTGATGCATCCTCCAGCCTCCAGTCTCAATCAGACACCAGCTGGTGCTATCAGAGGCAAGTGGTTCCCCGAGAAGAGATTAAAAGTACATCAGCAAAGAACAGCATGGTCACCCTAGCGGACCAGGCACCTAATTTCTCCAGGCTCCTGTCTAATGTAACTGTTGTGGAAGGTTCTCCAGTGACTTTGGAAGTTGAAGTAACAGGATATCCAGAGCCTACACTGACATGGTGGGTAGCCTATAATGACAAGCCATAAACAGAAACAAATCCAATCACTAAGCAATGATTTAGTGTGCACTAACTTGAAGGTTTAGGGACAGCTGATTAATATTCTACAACACTGCAACTCTGCATGATTCAGCCTCACATCAACCCCCAGCTCTCATTCAGCAGCAGCATGCCTAATACCCCTAAAAGAAAAAAAAGAAGGAACCATAGGAAATAGTAATTTAACAAACTCTGAAAGTACTACAGGACAGCTGTGCTTTTTTTTTTTTTTTTTTTTTTTTTTTGCTTTTAGATCAGTTTAACATTCCACATTTCTAAAGATTGTGGTCTGAAGTTATTTCCCCTTGTTTATTTCTATGGAAGCATGAAGTTTTCTTAGTTTAACAACACTTCTTCAATCAAAAAAAAAACAAAAGAATTTGGGTTTTTCCCTTTGCTTCCTTTTACCCACTTGACCTCTCCCTCTTCCCAACAGTCACACATGCCACTTTGGTAAGGATTGTTTGTTTCACTGAGTTTTCTTTTTATAAATGTTTTCAATGTGAGAGATAGATAACAATATTTCCCTCACAGTGGTTTCCAGTAATAAACCCATCTTTGAATAAATAAATAAATATATAATAAAAAAATTTAAATAAAATAAATAAATAAATAATAAAAAAAAAACATCTTTGAAAGGTAGTATAAAAAACTGAACTGTGAACAATATGATTTGCCTTGGGGGCACCATTATTTTTTTTAGCCTATTTGTTTTAATAAAAGTAAACAGAATAAGGGTTTTGAATCACCTACTGTTGTTCTAAAAGCAGCTCTGACTTTCTCAGTTCATGGGTTATTTTAAACATTTATAAACTAAGATAAACAGAGTAGCACTTGTTTATCCTAATCTTTCAGTCAGCACTGAGTGAACTGTTATCATGTGTACCCCTTGTCGGTACTCGAAGTGTGACTCGCTTATCTAATGAACTTATGAGAAAACCCTGGTTTCTCAGATTACTAAAAGTAACTGTATTCGTGCAATGGTGTGGCCATTTATGCTTTTTGTTTTCTTTTGTTTTTGTAGTTGCATGTTTTTGATAGATCAGGAATTTTGCATTTTTGAATTTAAAAGATATTTAATTCATCATTAAATATCAGTTCACCTCAAAGAAAAATGTTGTCTGAAGTGTTTCTTGGTTTTGTCCCCACAAAAAAAATGCCTTGGTTAGTATATATCCTTGAAGGACTGTTGTAATTATTGTGAAAGATAACAGTTTACCCTCAGATTTACAGTTTACCCTCAGACTTCACATAATTAACAACTGGCAAGCTGTCAGGGGATCACTCATTCTTAGGACACTCAGGAAAAGGTTATCACTTAGGCAATTGGAACAGAAGATGATTCAGGTTTATCCTCACTTCTTATGTAGAAGAACCTGGGTATGAATGAATACACATGAATCTAGACTATACAAAATAAACAAATGATTTGCTTTATAAAAAGATGCAACTGAGTAACCAGGTTCGTAGGAAAATAAGAAACAAGTCATTAACAGTAATAACCTCAATTGCATAAATGCCTTTTATAATTAGAAATCATTTTCTTTTAATGAAATAAATTGATAGACATTAAATGAACTCATTTAGCCAGGTAATGCTGTACAAGTACCTTGCCTAAAGCAGCACGTTGGTAGCTCATGTGGTTCACAGGGCATGAATATGGTGAATGAAGCAGATGAGTCTCCTTCCAATATGGATTCCAGGAAGTCACAAGCTGCTGTTTCACAGCACCTGAAAGAATGGAGTAGGCCAAACAGAAGAGTGCCATCTCACTTACAAGGTGCTCGTTACCACGAGCAAATGGTGGCCAAGTGGGACCAGATGGTCTGGCTTGAATAGTTGGCTATCTGAATTTTCATATTCAATATGCCAATGGTAAATGTTGTCCAAAAATTCAAATTTTAAAAAGCACATTCTAGCTGTCCTAACTGGCCAAGTATTTCTTTGGCCATCAGTTAGCAACCTCTGTTTGAATAAGCAGCTTCTTTGGAATTTGTGGTAACTACATAGCTCCTGCTAATTCTAGAGTATGTTGTGGTGGTGGTGGGCCCATTTGCAATGGTTATTAGACCTTAGAAATAATGTGAATAAAGAGTGATCCTGACTTTAAAAACTGACTCTCTGCTTCAGGTACAAGAAGGGCCAGAAATTGTCTGCAGATGGGCACTTACAGGTTTTGCACAAGGAGACAAGACATTCAGTGTTCATTCCGAAGGTATGCAAGGCAGACGCAGGCCTCTATGTGGTTCGTGCCCAAAATTCTAGTGGCATTCTCTCTTCCAATGTCATCCTCCACGTGACAGGTAACCACAGGCCGCCTATCACAAGAATAAACTGGATAATGATGTGTGTCATCTATGTTAGTGTCTCCCTACTCTACTGGCTGCTCACATGGTAACTCTGGGAAGGAACCCATGAATGTTATTCTCATGAGCCTAAAGGACACTATGATGTTTCTTTTCCTGCATTTTCTACAAAGCATCCCCCACCAAATATATTCCATTCTGGTCCTATTGCTTGTGTGGCTAACATCTCTGCTCAGTGAAATAACTTCAACTTTTCTTTAGTGGTTTAATGTGTTTGAGAAGCTTGTTAAATGATTAGCAATGGATCAGGATACTGTTTTGTATTTTAGAAAAAAATGTGTTCAATAGAAAACAAAGTAAAACTTTACTATGTATATTCCATCTTAATTTAAGCACATGCAGATCAAGGTTCACATCAGTATATAGCTGTGGTAAGTTTCAAATCCAACTATTGGGTAATTTATTTTTTACTGTACTCATGAATATATTTCTTTGTAGAATAATTGTAGAATGTTGAACTGAAGTTTTAATTTTTATTATTGCTTAACTATCCCTTAACATTGTCTTTTCATACTTTGATCTCATTTATTGAAATGCATTCATTCTATGGAGTTTCCAAATAGCCTATATTCCTGAGCCTAAGGATGCAACTTTAATCATTCCTCTGTTGATTTCATGGATTTGACTTAGGAGAACAGATGTGCCTTTAACTGTAAATGAAGTTTGAAGCTTCCATCAAGCTCTGTATGGCATATTGCAAGATAGTCATGGACTACTGAATGAACCAACTTTAGACCTGTCATTCTATTGATGTATTTGGGGCACCCATATATATACAAATGCAACCAGATCTCTTTGCACCTAATCTTGATTTTGCTGATGATGATCTTTTTGCATTTGATGGTAAGGCATCTCAGTGCCTCAGTTTCCTGTTTAGAAAATGGGTTCATTATCTACCTCTTGGATAATTAAGAGTTTTTGCTTCACTTCTTGTAAAGATCTCGAAAATGGAAAGCACTCTAGGAATACTAAATGTAATTATATTATTTAATGCAACTGGTCATTGCACTTCCTCCTGCCCACTATTTCTCCTGCAGGTGCTGCTGCTTTAGCATATTAAATTAAAAGAGTAGGATTATTATGTGGTTTCCCACTATTCCCACGTGTTAAAATGGCAGTTTATGAATTGAAATTTAAATTCCTTGCTAATTTCTTTAAACTACATCCTTACTTGAAACTAAACCCAGAAGGATATATTTAGTATTTAAAAGGAGGGGTATAGTAAGATGAATTCTAGTCTTATAAGTTTGATGTAATATTGAAGAATGTTCTATGTCTTTCTGAAATATATTACTCAGAAAAGAGGGTATTTGTTTGGTTCATTTAAAAAATAAATATGAATAAGAGAGGCATTTATTTTTTAGATTTTTAAACATAGTCTTGTACAACTAAACAAAATATTTGGTTGAAATAATCTCAATTTTTGATAAAGGTAAAGAATGAACTATGCTGTTGTTAAGTCCATCTACAACTAAAAGTATTTAATGTGGTATATTCAAATTGATATTAAAAAGTGCTAAATCTCATCTGAATATGTGAATATCTGGTTGACTGAAAAGTTGGCATATTTTTTCTTGTGCTGCATATTCAATTTAATTTAAAAATTAAATTTCCTAATTTTCTTGGTTTGTCACCTTGGTTGAATTGTAGTTTGAGGTGGCTAGGGCATGGATATTGCTGGTTTTCTTTACTTGTTGCATAGCAGTTCATTTTAATTTGGGGGGCAGAAGGGTGGGACATACATATTGCATGATATATCACCAAAATAAAATATATGAAGATAGAGGTAAAATATATGTGCAAACACATATATACAGCACATATAGAGAGAAAAGGCATCCTGATTTCAAGATATGGTTCAGATTGCTGTCTCTTCTCTCTCCCTCTCCCTTCCTCTCCCTCCCTCTCCCTCTGCCCCCTTCCACCCTTGCATACCTGCCTACCAACCTATCTGCTTACCTATCTTCCTACCTACTTACCTACCTCTTCTTTTGAGCTACTGTTTGACCAGCAGTGAATAATTAGTTATTTGGTTATTCTTCTGATTTTAATGTATTTTCAAAGACTTAAGAGTGATTTTTCTTTATTTTAGGACTTCTGTCTTGATCAATGAATTCTCCTTATGAAAGTTGAACCAAAATAATTTATTAATAAGGAAAACGTAAGAAATTCAGATGATGTTTGTATTTTAAGATATACATGATTTATAACCATTTCCTTCTAGAGAAAACTTTAGTAATATTGAAATACTTTTCAATAGAATAGGAAAATAAAGATTGATAAGAATGTAGACTTGACCCCTTGAAGGAATGCAACACAAATATGTTTTGAACTTCTAATTAGGTCACATCATTGGACTTTCAGTTCCCATTTTCTAATAAAAGGATGTATAAATATTTGGTGGTGAAGTTTTTTTTCAGACCCAATTCCAGGAGAAATTTAATGTATGAACCCTTATATTTGAATCTCTGCAGAGTCTATAATATCTAAAATATTAGGGAAAACAATACCTTCTAACTGCTTCACTCAACTTCAAATTTCTGCAAGTAGAACACAAAGCTCTTTAACCTGGTCTCCCTCTGTCTTCCATCAAAGCAACATTTAGCTTCAGTTTTTTTGGTTTTTAAAAATATTTTTTACATCATTTTTCATTTTTGTATAATGTATGCATTTTCATCTTGGTTATAGTCCCCGTAAAATTCCTACCACCCTTGTTTTGATCCTCCTTTCTTCTCCACCCCCAGCCCCGTAGTGTGTCTCTGGTTTATAGTTGCCTGTTGATTTTGTTTTTCACTTTAATTATAATTATTCTTTTTCCTGATCCCTTATTTAGGTTTTCTAAATTCCTACTATGTAACTTCAGGTTTTTACCCTATTGTTCTTTCATTTTTTTTAGTCCTTTCTTCCCAAAACTCCTTTACTATTTTCTAGTCTATCTTTGTGTCGCTCGACTCTGGCTTATCCTTCCATATCATTTAAGTCCAATGTAGATGTTCCTGCTCCATGCTCTGTCAACACCCGACTTGACATAGTCACTTCAGTAGGACATAGTGATGGAATTTTCACATATTCAAAAACTCATCTCCCCTAGTTAGGCTGTGAGTCCCTTATCAGGAGGATCTGTGACAGCCCTGTTTATCACTATAATCCCAGCACCTAAGACATAATCACAATCAATAAATTTTTAAAAACTGTTTTTTTTAATAGAGGCATGTTTTTTATTTATTTGTTTGTTGGTTTTTGTTTTGTTTTGTTTTATACATGCACTGGGTACAGTCAGAAGCGCAGGAGGGTGAGAGAATTCACCAGAGCCAGAGTGGGGAGCAGAGCAGGCAGAAGGACCGAAGTACACTGCTGAGGGGAGCAGCGGGTGGCAGGAGAGGTCTGCGCGCCATGTGGGACCCTCCTCCAGTGGCCGGCGAGCAGCCGGGGATCAAACCGGTGCTGCAGAGGCCGCGGGCAGCTTCGCAACCCAGCACTCAACCGCTGCGCCACCAGGGAGGCCCAATAAATTTTGAAAAACTGTTTTTGAAAATAAGTGGTGATAAATCTAGCTGGCTTTTTGTTTTTTCATTAAGGAGGGCAACAGGGAATGTAAATAGAGAAAGATGTAGCTGTGACCCTATTATCCTTCCTTACCATGGACATTTGCTGATCAGGATCATGTTCTGGCCCTGAAATATACATAAAATACTCTCACCAAATCTACAAAACTTAAGTGGGAACGTCCAGATCCTCTGTTTTAGACCTGGAATGAAAATTTAAACTTAAAAATCAAGGCTATCTCATAGGTCAAAATAGCAGAGAAGAGACCAAATCTGGGATCATTACTCCAACAGTTTAAAGCATATTAAACAAGTATAAATTGCTACCAGATATAAGAGGAGAAATGGGCATTCCCACTCTCAGTGACTAAACCAAACTACCAAAACCAGGTTTATGTACTTGTTTGAACACTACACATATTATCAATATTTTATTGTAACTGGGGCTCAGTGATATGGCTGTGAACATACCTTACTTGTAAATCACATTTTCACTTATACATGTAAATACAAAAAAAGTCAAGTCCAAGAGCCCAAAGTATTTGAACTCCAAATGAAGGAAGCAAAGAGTATTGAATCTTGTTCCACTTTGTTTTATTTATGGCCATTCCTTACTAGAAATTACCATCTGAAGCTTTTACATGCCTGTTGTAGGTACGGTATTTTAAGTGTGGCCATGAAATAAATTAGTTAAAATAAAATATCTCCCCCTAGTAACCTCTAATATTGCATTTCAATTCAAATGTCAAAGCATGACAGACTATTTTCCATTCATAACAAGCAGAACCTTGAGTTGCATCAGTGAGCCAAAAGATTTGCATTCACTAAATGAAACCATGTTTCACTTTAAAGCAACAATTCATTATCGCTGCTCTCATTATATGAGATAGTTGATTGTGATCAGCTGTGTAGGAACTCAGCCTCAAAAAAAAAGGCAAAACTGTTAACTGGCCTTTTCCCATGAATCCAGACAATTCTGTTCCCTGTGTTTATGAGAGTTTACATGATATCATGGACTACTTGAGCATCAGTGATGAAGGTTTGAGGCATGACATGCCTCCAAATAGAAGCCTTTGACTCTGGAATTTGAGTGTCTGGCCAGAAATTTCTTCTATTCGAAGGTAGTTTCTTTTCTATAAGCCATCCACTTTAAGCAGCTAGAGGAAAAAAGAGTTATTTAAGCCTATAGCAAGCAGAATAAAAGAAATTATAAAATTAGAATACAAAAAAAATAAATAAATAAAATTAGAATACAAATTAATGATCTTAAAAGGAGAAAATAAGGAAAATCAAACAAACCAACA